GATCTCAAACTGGATACATTTTTACGATTGGCGGGACTGCATTTTCTTGGCGTTCCAAAAACAAACGTTAGTTGCGACGTCTTCAAACCATGCCGAGATCATTGCACTTCATGAAGCAACTAGGGAAAGCATCTGGCTCAGAAACATGACTCAACATATTCAACAAGCCAGTGGACTGTCAAACAATAATGACCCGACGGTGATATACGAAGACAATGCAGCATGTGTCGCTCAAACCAAAGAAGGATACATCAAGAGTGACAGAACTAAACACATCCCGCCAAAGTTATACTTATATGCGCAAGAGCTTGAAAGAAACAAACAAATCAAAGTTCAATACATCCGATCAAGCGATAATGCAGCAGATTTGTTTACTAAGGCGCTTCCGACGACAATATTTCGAAAGCACGTACACAATATTGGAATGAGGCATCTTCGGGATTTACACGGATGATAATTCGAGGGGGAGTATGTGCGGTTGTACTCTTTTTTCCTTATCTCGGTTTTTTTCCCACAGGGTTTTTCCAGATAAGGTTTTTAACGAGGCAACATAAACGCACATTTAATAGTGGTAACTCCAAGGGGGAGTATTATGTACAAGTGGATTTACCACTAAAGATTATCTTTTCATTATTTAAATGCATTGTAATGTGTGCCACTTTGCCTATAAAAGGCAAGAGATGTACTACATTTTAGTGCACGAAAAACAGAAGAAAGTGAAAGAAAGTCTGTTATAATTATATCCGGTTTTTACATTGTGTTCTTTATATTCCCCGTATTTTATAACAAATTTTTCATTCTCTACAAATAGAGACCACATTTGATATTTTTTGGAACACAATTAATTTATCATTTTTTACAATTAATTTATTTTATTGGAACATGTTACATAGTAAGATGAACATGCTACATAGTAAGATGAACATGTTATAGAGTAAGATGAACATGTCATAGAATAAGATGAAAATGTTCATTTTTTACAATTAATTTATCTTATTGGAAGATTATGACGCAAATCTATAATAAGATGAACATGTTACATAGTAAGATGAACATGTTACATAGTAAGATGAACATGTTATAGAGTAAGATGAACATGTTATAGAGTAAGATGAACATATCATAAAACAAGATGAAAATGTTACATTTTCACAGAAATTTAGATGAACATGTTCTAAAATAAGATGAACATGTTACATAATAAAATGAACATGTTATAGAATAAGATGAACATGTTACGTACACAATAAGGTGAACATTTTATGAAATAAGATGAATATGTTACCAAAATGAGACGAACATGTTATAAAATAAGATGAATATGCATTATTTCAATCTGCAACATGTTCATCTTATTTGAAAATGTTTAATCTTATTATGTAACATGTTCATTATATGTCAGTATAATAAAATAATTACAAAAAAACGAAAAATTAGTTGTGTTCAAAAACCTGTCAAATGTGGTCTCTATTTATACATAATGAAAAATTATGAATTTTGGTATATTTATTTTATTTTTCTAATATAAATAATTAATGATATTTTAATTTATGCAATATGTCTCATTTTCAATTAAAATAAGGAAAAATAGAAATGTGCACTACACTCTCTAAAATTTTCTAGTTTTTAGGGTGAGAGGACGCGTGCAAAATTGCCTTGGTGTGCCAGGGTGCTAGGGCACACGGTAGTGCTATTGGTATAAATGGACATAACATTGCCACGTGGCGTTCTGAGAAGCCTCACGACCCTGGGCCAATCTCAGATTTTTTTTGTTCTTCCTCCTCACGACTCTCATCCCACAAGAAGAAATTGTCTCAATCATCAAACATGGAAAAGAATCCACAAGGTATTATTATTCTTCTTCTTCTTCTTCTTCTTTTAATTTTGGTCCTTAATTATTAGTTGGATTAAAGTGGTGATTTGCACAGGGATTTCTGACGAGGCAAGGGAAGGCTACTGCAAGGGGATGATGAAACCTACGAAACGGGTTTCGGACAACATACTCCCTCATATTCTTAACCTGTGAGAGCTGCTGCTGTCTTTTTCGAATTTTTCTACAATTCTTGTTTTTGTCAACTCTCTTGCTGCTGGTTTAGTTATTCCCATCTTATTAATGTGTGTTTTCATTGGCTGGGTTAATTACTCTTAGAGATCACTCACAATTTATGGGAACTTTGAATTAGCCTTCACAAATAGTTTGAAAGCTAATATTGTTCCACTACGAAATTTCATGGCCTAGAATAGAATAGAACAATCATTTGTGCTTGTTTTTGAGGAGAAGGTGTAACAAGAATGTTCACTTTCCAAGTTACATTGTATAGTCATGCTATCAATCTAATACAAAGACTGATGTGATTTAATCTCTCTTTCAATTTGAAAGGAAAGGATACTGTAATTCTCTTTAGTTCTGCAAAATTCATGTTCAGTTTCAGTCCGGTTATTATTTGTCGGTCACACCCTTTCACCTTAAACTGGATAAGCTTATCCGGGACTTCGATCCAAATGGCCTCAAGATGTTGGGCTCTCAACAAAAATTACTTTCAATTTGTTCTCCGCTAAGCATTAAATGAGTAACAAGTCTGCCATGTGCAAAGAAACAAGATTAATAGTCACAGTGTTCTACTTAAGCTGACATATGTGCAACACTTATCAAACATCATTTTCAAAGTCTCTTACACGTTTCGGAGGAATCCACTTAGAATAGACCCAAGCGAGATCGGAGGAAACGCTTTTGCCTTAAGGATTGCAAGAGATTCTATATTATCTTTATTTCCATATTTTATATCATTTTCCTTATTTCTTTTGTTGCTAGGACTTTATTTATTGTTGTTCTCTATTATTCCAAATATAAATGAAGAAGTTATATCGTTTTTTGCTCGGCAAATCCGTAACTCGATTCGTTTTAAAGCAATTCCACTCAAATCGATACAACCTTGAAGCTAGTTCGAATGAATAATCCATGTCATCTAAAACTAGGAAAGTATCTCCCAAAGAAATTCAAATGATAACTAGCAATTTTTACATCAGAAATATACCAGCCATTGTAATTATATGACTTGTTCTAGTTCAGTTTGCTGTTGAATATTGTAATTTGGTCTCTAAATATTAACTGTGGGACTCAGAAGAAATTATCTTGAGCTCTAAACCCAAGCACATCCGTTGCTATTTCCTAATTTCCTATGATGGTCACTCATATTGTTGTTGTTGTTGTTGTTTTTATTGTTGTTTTCCCTTAATTGGAACCTCAGTTACACATTTTACAGTACTAAGGGTGGTAACAGGTATCTATTTTTGAATTAACCTCATCTTCCTCAGTTGTGTTTGCCGCTTAACTTTAACTTACCGTCTGCTGACCACGTTAGTGAGTTAATGGTTAGTACCTTACATAGAAAATCAAGCAGCTATTGTTATTGAACTGTGTTTTGATGACCCCTCCTCAAAGATTCTATATCGGACATTTGTTGTTCCTCTTAACATATCGTGTTTGGATGAAGTGAAAAGTTTGAAGCTTTGGACCAAATTTTCAAATACAGTAGTCGGCCTGGCCTAATCATCCATGAGCGGAGGGATTGGTAATATCCCAATATTACCGGTTTAGTAAATTTAACAATATATATAATATTAAAAATGAAAAATAATAAATTAGACGACCATATTCATTAAGTCTTTTTAAATAAGATCGAAAATTAGAAAATTTCAACTACCGTTTCAAATATAAAGTTTATAATTATATTTTTTATTGTCTTTTTAATTTTCTGTGTTTCAATTTTTTTTTGGTTCATGTGCAATTTGTCCAAGCATGTACGGTACAACTCCTCGTCTATCTGGTATTTTATGTGTATTTGTAGGAACTATGGCTGATATCCGGTATTACGGACCGATATGGTACTACAAGGTTTTTTACACATTGCTCTGGAACCATTAGTTTACCTTAGTGTTCTTATGTTAGTCTTTTCCCTTCAGAATATGCTTTGTGAGAAACTTTGTTAGTTTAGTATGCCTGTCATACGTTCTCTTTAATTTTCCTCCGTATAGATGGTGCTTTCATGTAAATTAGTTGGTCATTTTACTGCAAAGTGTTGTTTCAAATGAATTAATCTGTAATTGTTATTTTGTCCATTGTCCAATGATTTCAGTTATGCATCCCGCGCCACATTTAAGGACTTTGAAATCTATGTGCCTCATGCAACCTTTGAAGACCCACTCATGTGTGCACATGGGTAAGATTTTGCTGGTCTCCGTACATGAATCAATAGATGAATTATGAAGTTAAGTCATGATTTTGTGTAACATGTCGGAATTGCTATCAATTTACACAGCAAGTAGAAGAGAACGAATCTTAATTTAAATTAATAATATAATTCAGCCTTTCAGATCGTAAGGTTAGAATACTTGTTACAGTTTTATTTGGGATTACTTGTTATCTCCTTGGTTAATCTTTTGTTGAATATGAATTATCGACTTTAAGCTTTGCCAGCTCGGTGCTTGCGCTTGGAACAGACTTTGTTTGTTAAAATTGTTTATTTTCCAATGCAATTACTTCATTTTTGTTATTTTTATAAACCCTTGATTCTGTCATCAATAAGTAGAAACAGCAAGACATTGATTTACCTCCCGTTATACTGTCACTCTTGATTCGAAAGCACAAGTTGGGAATGTATGTTGAAATTTAATATGACAAGGAGAATATGATACAACTGAATGACACCATAACCTTAACAATTTATATCATGAAGCACCGAGAAAACAAATATGTATGATAATTTTCTTAAAGTACAACTTCTGAATTGTTTTGAAAAATATGGAGTCATTTCCGGGTTGTAGAGACCCTTATATTGCTTCTTGGATGTTTTTCTTTCTGAGATTTGGTATTCAAAATATAGTTTAAAATTCAATGAAGTTTCTCTTATCGTTGGATTAAGTGTTCATGTCAGAACACATAGCCTCACATTTGAAGCGCAAAGAGAACTTAGTGAAAAGTGCATAAAATTTGCGCGAAGAACTCTTGTTAGCTCTCAAGACCAAAGTGATGAAGGTAAAAAAGTCACATTAACACATGTTTTAAGCTTATTGACAGAGTTTGTATCATACTTTTATCGATTCAATGCTCAAGTTTTGTGATTGATGGTATTCAAGAATTATAATAAATGCCTCGGGTAAGTTTGTATTAACTGCATTTTCTTGTTGCTTGCAGGGTGAACCAGATTAAATCAGCATTCTATTCACTTGCCAAGGTTGTATTAGTATTTGAAATTCACTATGTGTGTGTGTGTGTGTGTGTGTGTGTGTGTGTGTGTGTGTGTGTGTGTGTGTGTGTGACATTTTTGTGTTTTTAAGCTTGCCAAGTTCAGTTGACTGCTCGTAAGTGAGCGTTCTGAAAGTTTGTGTGGGTGCCCTGCGCGTGTGTCACATTTTTGTATAAGTTTGCCAAATTTCAGTTTTTCTTTGTTGGAAAAGTGCAAAAAACAAGTAGATTTTCTAAATTTGTTGTTACTCATGATCAAATATTGTTACTTGCAGGTGTTCAGTGAATCAAGAATCGTGGACTACAGCATTAAAGAAAACATAATTGCACCAGGAAATACAGAGGTGGATGAAATTCTTAGGGGGTGATTGTTTATTAATCCACTCCAAAAAAAACCAATCAAAACTCAAATCCTCCACTCCACTATCTTCAATATTATTAATATAATTAAATAATATCAACCAATCATTCAACCAATCATTTTTATACATCACATCAACTTTAATTCACTATTCATCTACTCACATAATTTTAACTAACCATCACCTCCAATCATTTTTCTCTTACTTTTACATTGAGTTATCATATGTAGAAGTGGGCTTAGATGAGTCACCTACTTGCTTGTAAAACATGGCATGATAAGAGCCCTTAATCGATCCTTTAAGTGCCACCTCGGATGGTGACTAAATCGTGCAAATGCCACGGAAGCACACGGACGAAGCAAGTGGCACCATAAGAACTCACGGCTATGGCTTTGCTTAAATAGGAAAATGACATACCAACTTTAATTATTTTATTTCAAATATTATTTTAATACATCTACTAACAACTAACTATATCAACTTTTTTCAAATTAACTATGGTTAAAAAAACTAAAACCTAGATGAATTCATAAACAATCACATCCTTAGTCATTTATCTTTTACTTCGGTAATTTGTCTAATCGATTGTCACAATTGCCATTTTTGCTCACATTGTTATGTTATGTGGGTATTCAGATATTAATCGACAACAAGCAATTCTACAAGTTTTTGGGGAGAGACATCAATGTGATATCTCTCATCAAGTTATACACGGAGGATGGAAAAGTTATACACCATGAAGACTGGTACGAATATTTATATTATTTTACGAGTAATGCTTATTTAGCCTACTTAGTTGACAACTTGGGTTACAATCCAAGTGTAAATGTATTATCAGAAAATTAAAAAATAATGCATTTACACTTGTGTTGTAACTCATGTTGTCATCCAAGTGGGTTGTATAGCATTACTCTTATTTTACAGTCTTAGGTCCAAAGCTCTATTTATAATGAAGAATTCAATAGGTTCGTTGACAACTTTTCTAATCCAAATTTTAGTTTCTAATTGAAAAGTATGACTGTTGATTGTAACATATATGAGATTATTTTATACTCCCTTCTATTCTTTTCAAACGTCATTTTGACTTTATTAATCATTAACCTAATAAATGACGTTTTAGATCTTTTGTACATATTTTTCATTATTATCTTCATTTAGTTTATAAATACACTACGCCTTTTCATATCCACTCTTCATTTTAATTTTCATTAAAAAGGGTTATTATTGACAAAAAAAAAAAAATCTTAATTATTATGCAATTTTTCAAAACGATCATATTATGAACATGAGGGAGTAGTAGTTTTTGTTTTATATATAGAGATTTTTGTCTTTTATCAATATATATGTTGAAATGTGATAGGTGGGACAAGAAACCATTATGGAATAGAGAGACAGTGAGAGTGCCACTCGCTGGGCGCATAATTGAGGCGACCAGACGAGCATCAATGTTGGTAACTCATGCTTTGATGAGGTTTGGAAAAGATCCACCCATGTAAACTTTCTTTTCTGATGCTTTATTTTAATATATACAGTCTGCAGATATTATGCTGCAACTTTAATGTTTTATTACTTGGTTATGTAGAACATAATACAAATTATGTAGTACATTATGCAGATAATGAGAATGTATACTCTTGGTATGATTTTCATTTAATCGAAAATACCTGTTTAAAGAAAATTACAATGGCACAATGGTAAAAATAGTATTACATAAAGGTCAAAATAGTCACACCCATTCAAGTAAATATGGTAGGTCAACAATAAATTCATATCATATTCCATTGCACCACAATTTTCTAAACAAATCTAAATTAGTTTGAATAAAAATCTAATTCGGACATCTTGTAGTGTAGCTTGTGATCATGTATTGTTGCATGATATCATAAAAACCAAGTGAGAAGAACCTGAGCATTATGGAGTCATAAAGTTGCTTCCCCTCAAATATATCATCCTTAGTGGAGTGTCAATATGTTCTCATTAACACATTTTCAAGAAAACTATTTGGGAAACAAACTTGATTGAAGAAAAAAAAAAAAAAA